TCTCCCATACGCCCGTCACCTTACGCCCGTCACCATTCGCCGTCACTATGCGCGCCCGTTACCGTGCTCATCTCCCACCATGCACGCCCGTCACCGCCTCCCGTCTTCATACGCTGTTACCGTTCATCTCACCATGCACGCCGTTACCATTCACGCCCGTCACTATGCGCGCCCGTTACCATTATCGTCCCACCATGCACGCCCGTCACTATGCGGTTGTGTCATCTCCCACCGTTTGCACGCCCGTCATTATGAGCCCGTTACCATATGATCGTTGCCATTATCATCTCCCACGCATCTGTTCATTTCATCTGTCACTATGCCACGCCCGTCACCATGCCCACGCCGTTACCATTCGCGTTTGGTTATCCCTCATGCCGACCATGTATCGTCACCTGCACGCCTCCCATACACCGTCACCATTCACATCTCCCACCATGCACGCCCATCTGCAGCCCTCACCATGCACGCCCACCGTCGCCACGCCCGTCACCATTCATCTCCCCACGCCCTTATACGCCCGTCACCATACCTCTTCATCTCCCTATGCACGCCCGTCACCATACGCCCGTCTGCGCCACGCCCGTCACTACTGCGCGCCCATTACCTTCGCCACGCCCGCGTCTGTACGCCCGTCACTATGCGCGCCCATTACCATTATCATCTCCCACCATGCACGCCCGTCACCCTACCGCGCCGTTACCATTATCATCTCCCCACCATGCACGTCGTCACTATGCCGGGCCGTTACCATGTGCGCTCGTTACCATTATCATCTCCCACCATGCGTCCGTTACCATTATCATCTGACCATGCACGCCCGTCACCGTGCACGCCCTTCCCATGCACGCCCATTACCATGCAGCGTTATTATCATCTCCTATTACGCCCGTTACCATTATCATCTCCCCACCCTGCACCGTCCATCGTCACCATGCGCCCGTCACCCATGCACGCCCGTCACCTCATCTCCCATCAGCACGCCCATCACCATGCACGCCCGTCACCATGCACGCCCGTTACCATTATATCTCATCACCTTCGCCCGTCACCGCCACCACGCCCGTCACCATTTTGGTGGTCACCATCTCCCTCATGCACGCCCGTCACCATCCACGCCCCGTCACCATTCCATCTCCCACCATGCACGCCCGTCACCTGCACGAACGTCACCATTCACATCTCCCATCCACCGTGCGCCGTCACCATGCACGCCCGCCCTGCGCCACGCCCGTTACCATTCCATCTCCCATGCCCGTTACCATTCACATCTCCCTGCAGCCATTACCATTCACATCTCTCACCATGCATTGCCATTCATCTCCCATGTTCCATCACCATTCACATCTCCCCCATGCACGCCCGTCACCATACGCCCGTCACCATGTGAAACGTCCTGTCCTCTCCCTATCCCACGCCCGTCACATGCACGTCCGTCACCATGCACCCCGTCTCGCCACCATTACATACACCGTTACCATTCACATCTCCCATGCCCGTTACCATTCATCTCCCCTACATGCACGCCGTCACCATTCACATCTCCCCATCACCATGCACGCCGTCACTGTGAACGTCTCTCTCTCTGTCCACACCGTCCGCATGCGCCGTCACCATGCGCCCGTCACCATGCACGCCGTTACCGTCACATCTCCCACCATGCCGTTACCGTTCACGCCGTGCAGGTTGCCATTCATCTCCCTACATGCACGCCCGTTACCATTCATATCTCCCACCATACGCCCATTTGTATTCATCTCCCACCATACACCGTTACCATTCACATCTTCCTTACGCCCGTTACCATTCACATCTCCACCATGCACGCCCGTTGCCATTCACATCTCCACCATGCACGCCCATCACCATGCACGCCCGTCACCATTCATCTCCCCACCATGCACGCCCATCAGCCATACGCCCGTCACCATGCACGCCCGTTACCATTTATATCTCCCACCATACGCCCGTCACCATGCACGCCCATCACTATTTATCTCCCCTATACACGTCACCATGCACATCTCTCACCACACGCCCGCCACCATGCACGCCCGTTACCATTTATATCTCCCTACATATACGCCCGTCACCATGCACGCCCATCACTATTTACATCTCCCACCACACACCCGTCACCATGCATCTCTCACCATACACGCCCGTCACCATGCACCGTCACCATGCACATCTCTCACCATACACGCCACCAGCCCATCACCATTCACATCTCCCACCATTACGCCCGTCACCATGCACGGCTGTCACCAATCACATCTCAACCATACACGCCCGCCACCATGCACGCCCGTCACCATTCACATCTCCCCAAGCTTACGCCCGTCACCATTCACATCTCCCACCATGCACGCCGTCACCATTCACATCTCCCACCATGCATGCCCGTCACCATTCATCTCCCCAGCATACACGCCGCCACCATGCGCCCGTCACCATTCACATCTCCCCTCGCACGCCCGTCACCATGCACGCCCGTCACCATTCACATCTCCCAGCCCACGCCCGCCACCATGCACGCCCGTCACCATTCACATCTCCCACCAAGCACGCCCGTCACCATTCACATCTCCCACCATGCACGCCGTCACCATTCCATCTCCTGGCTGCGCGTCACCATTCACATCTCCATACATACCGCCCGCCTGCACGCCCGTCACCATTCACATCTCCCTGGCTTGCACGCCCGTCTGCATGCACGCCCGTCACCATTCATTCCCAGCCATACACGCCCGCCACCATGCACGCCGTCACCATCATCTCCCAGCACGCCCGTCACCATTCACATCTCCCCTGCATGCCGTCACCATTCACATCTCCCCACCATGCACGCCCGTCACCATGCACGCCCGTCACCACACACCCATCACCATACGCCCGTCACCATTCACATCTCCCCCTACGCCCATCACCATGCACGCCCGTCACCATGCACGCCCCGTTACCATTATCTCCTATTCACGCCCGCCACCATGCACGCCCGTCACCATTCATCTCCCCACCAAGCACGCCCGTCACCATACGCCCGTCACTTTCACATCTCTTTCCTGGCCGCCCGTCGCCATGCACGCCCGTCACCGTTCATCTCCCGCCAAGCACGCCCGTCACCATGCACGCCCGTCACCATTCACATCTCCCACCATGCACGCCGCCACCATGCACGCCCGTCACCATTCATCTCCCCTGGCTTACGCCCGTCACCATGCACGCCCGTCACCATTCACATCTCCTGGCACGCCCGTCACCATGCGCCCGTCACCATTCATCTCCCGCACGCCCGTCACCATGCACGCCCGTCACCATTCATCTCACCAAGCACGCCCGCCACCATGCACGCCGTCACCATTCACATCTCTAGCTTACGCCCGTCACCATGCACGCCCGTCACCATTCATCTCCCCTGCAACGCCCGCCACCATACGCCCGTCACCATTCACATCTCCCGGCATACACGCCCGCCTGCATGCGCGTCTTGTGCGTCTCTGGCCGCCCGTCATTCATGCGTCTTACCAGTTCGTCTCCCCGACCATGGCCGTTCATCTCCACCATGCACGCCCGTCACCATTCACATCTTCCACATACGTCACCCAGCTCGCGCCGTCTGCACCCCATCACCATGCCGTCGCAGCCCGTCATTCATCTCCCCACCATGCACGCCGTCACCATGCACGCCGTCTCCATCACATCTCCCACCATGCACGCCCGTCTTCACATCACCATGCACGCCCGTCACCATGCACGCCCGTGACCATCACATTCCCACCATGCACGCCCGTCACCATGCACGCCGTCTGGCGCCGGCCCATTTCATCTCCACACCATGCACGCCCGTCACCATTTACATGGTTTCACCCTCTCACTTGCGCCTGCATGTCTCACTTCTCTGATACTGACCGTCACCATGCACCGTCTTGTTCATCTCCCTATGCCCGTCACCATTTCATCTCTGCATCTTGTCCGTCCATCTCAGCTTGCCTCTGCCGTCACCATCTCCACGCCCGTCTGCATGCACGCCCGTCACCATTCACATCTCCCCAACCATACACGCCCGCCACCATGCACTTGTCACCATTCACTTCTCCCACAATGCACGGCCGTGCCATGCACGCCCGTCACCATTCACATCTCCCCACCATGCACGCCGTCACCGCTGCACGCTGTGAATACCGTCCGTCACCATGCCGTCTGTCGCCGCACGTCCTGTCACCATGCACGCCCGTCTCTTACGCCCTACTATTCATGCACGCCCATCACCATCACGCCTGTCACCATGCACGCCTGTCTGCTTACGCCGTCACCATGCACGCCCGTCACCATTCACATCTCCCATACGCCCATCACCATGCACGCCGTCACCATGCACGCCCGTCACCATACATCTCCCCTACGCCGCCATCACCATGCACGCCCGTCCCACCCATCTGTTTACATCTCTCCCACCATGCACGCCCATCACCATGCACGCCGTCACCATGCACGCCCGTCACCATTAACATCTCACCATACGCCGTCACCATTAACATCTCACCGCACGCCGTCTCCATGCACGCCCGTCACCATTCACATCCCCATGCACGCCCGTCTGCTCCCCGTCACCACCGCCGGTCACCACACGCCCGTCACTATGCACGCCCATCACCTTGCACGCCCGTACCATCACATCTTCCACCATACACGCCCGTCTGCATGCGCCCGTCACCATTCATCTCCTGCGCCGTGCCGCCCGTCACCACGCGGTCACCATACCGCCGTCACCACGCCCGTCACCATGCACGCCCGTCACCATACGTCCTCACCACCACTACATCATCACGCCCATCACCATTACATCTTCCTGCACCATGCACGCCCGTCTCCATCGCCAGTCTCTACACCGCCGTCACCATGCACGCCCGTCACCATGCACCCGTCACCATACACGTCCTCACCACACTACCATCGCCCATCACCATTCACATCTTCCACCATGCACGCCCGTCACCATGCACGCCCATCACCATTCACATCTTCCTGCGCGCCGTCACCATACGTCCGTCACCATACACGCCCGTTACCACCGTCCCGTCACCATACACGCCCGTCACGATTCATCTTCCACCCACGCCCGTTATGCGCCCGTCCTATCCACGCCGTCACGATTCACGTCTTTCACTATGCGCCGTTACCATACGCCCGTCACCATGCACGCCCGGCACCATACGTCGTCACGATACGTCTCTCCGCCACGCCCTATTCTGCCGTACCATGCGCCCGTCACCATGCACGCCCGTTACCATACATCTTCCACCATGCACGCCCGTTACCTATACATCTTCCTATGCACGCCCGTCACCATACATCCGTCACCATACACGTCCTCACCATGCGCCGTTACCATACACATCTTCCACCATGCACGCCGTCACCGCACACATCCGTCTCCACGTCCCGTCACCATACGCCCGTTACCATTCATCTTCCCACAATGCACGCTCGTCACCATGCACGCCCTACAAAATGCGCCGTTACCATTCACATCTTCCACCACGCACGCCCGTCTGCCGCCCGTCACCATGCGTCCCGTCACCGCACGCGTCTGTCGCCATGCACGCCCGTTACCATTCATCTTCCATCATGCACGCCCGTCATTCACCATTTCATACACGTCCGTCACCATACACGCCCGTCACCATTCACATATTCCCACCATGCAGCCCGTCACCATACATGCCCGTCACCATGCACCCATCACCATTCACATCTCCCAATGCCGTCTCATTGACAGCTCCCACCATGCGCCCGTCACCATGCACCCGTCACCATTCACATCTCCCTACGCCCGTCTGCACGCCCGTCACCATACGCCTTTACCATTATATCTCCCACCATTCCGTCACCATGCACGCCCATCACCATTTACGCTCTCCCATACCGTCACCATGCACATCTCTCACCATGCACGCCCCCGCCACACGCCCGTCACCATTCATCTCCCTGCGCACGCCCGTCACCATGCGCCCGTCATTCACGCATCTCCCCTGCACGCCCGTCACCATGCACGCCCGTCACCATTCATCTCCCAGCCATACCGCCCGCCACCATGCGCCGTCACCATTCACATCTCCCACCAGCACGCCCGTCACCATGCACGCCCGTCACCATTCACATCTCCCAAACACGCCCGTCACCATGCACGCCGTCACCATTCATCTCCCCCGCACGCCCGTCACCATACGCCCGTCACCATTCACATCTCCCCACCAACACGCCCGTCACCATACGCCCGTCACCATTCATCACCGCACGCCCGTCACCATGTACGCCCGTCACCATTCATCTCCCCGCATGCCCGTCACCATGCACGCCCGTCACCATTCACATCTCCCCTGCGCCCGTCACCATGCACGCCCGTCACCATTCACATTCCCACCATGCACGCCCGCCTGCATCGCCCGTCACCATTCATCTCCCACTGCACGCCCGTCACCGCATGCGCCGTCACCATTCACATCTCCCCACCAGCACGCCCGCCACCATGCGCCCGTCACCATTCATCTCCTACCGCACGCCCGCCACCATGCACGCCCGTCACCATTCACATCTCCCACCATGCACGCCCGTCACCATCTCACATCTTCCCACCATGCACGCCCGTCACCATGCACGCCCGTCACCATACACACTCCATCACCATGCACGCCTGTCACCATGCATGCCCGTCACCATTCACATCTCCCACCATGCACGCCCGTCACCATGCACGCCCGCCACCATGCACGCCCGTCACCATTCACATCTCCCACCAGCACGCCCGCCACCATGCACGCCCGTCACCATTCACATCTCCCCACCATGCACGCCCGTCACCATGCACGCCCGTCACCATTCACATCTCCCCACCAAGCACGCCCGCCACCATGCACGCCCGTCACCATTCACATCTCCCACCATGCACGCCCGCCACCATGCACGCCCGTCACCATTCACATCTCCCACCAGCACGCCCGTCACCATGCACGCCCGTCACCATTCACATCTCCGCACGCCTGCCACCATGCACGCCCGTCACCATTCACATCTTCCCACCAAGCACGCCCGCCACCATGCAAGCCCGTCACCACATGCCCGCCACCATGCACGCCCGTCACCATTCACATCTCCCCACCATGCATGCCCGTCACCATGCACGCCCGTCACCATTCACATCTCCCAGCCATACGCCCGCCACCATGCACGCCCGTCACCATTCACATCTCCCACCATGCATGCCCGTCACCATTCACATCTCCCACCATGCACGCCCGTCACCATGCACGCCCATCACCACACACCCATCACCATGCACGCCCGTCACCATGCATGCCCGTCACCATTCACATCTCCCCACCATGCACGCCCGTCACCATGCACGCCCGTCACCATACATGCCCGTCACCATTCACATCTCCCACCATGCACGCCCGTCACCACACACCTACCACCATGCACGCCCATCACCATTCACATCTCTCCCACCATGCACGCCCGTCACCATTCACATCTCCCACCATGCACGCCCGTCACCATGCACGCCCGTCACCACACGCCCGTCACCATGCACGCCCGTCACCATCTCACATCCCACCATGCACGCCCGTCACCACACACCCATCACCATGCACGCCCATCACCATTCACATCTCCCACCATGCACGCCCGTCACCATTCACATCTCCTGCATCACGCCCGTCACCATGCACGCCCGTCACCATTCACATCTCCCACCAAGCACGCCCGCCACCATGCAAGCCTGTCATACACGCCCGTCACCCTGCACGCCCGGACCATTCACATCTCCCCACCATGCACGCCCGTCACCATGCACGCCCGTCACCATTCACATCTCCCACCACACGCCCGTCACCATGCACGCCTGTGACCATTACATCTCCCACCATGCACGCCCGTCACCATGCACGCCCTGTCACCATTCACATCTTCCCACCATACACACCCATCACCATGCACGCCTGCATCACCATTCACATCTCCCACCATGCACGCCCGCCACCATGCACGCCCGTCACCATTCACTTTCCCACACGCACGGCCGTCACCACATCTTCCACCATGCACGCCCGTCACCATACACACTCCGTCACCATGCACGCCTGATAAAATGCACGCCCGTTACCATTCACATCTTCCACCATGCACGCCCGTCCCCGCACGCCCGTCACCATGCACGCCCGTTACCATTCACATCTTCCACCACGCGCCGTCATACACGCCGTCCTGTACGCCCGTTACCACGTCCGTCATACACGCCTGTCACCATACTCGCCCGTCACCATTCACATCTCCACCAGCACGCCCATCACCATTCATCTCTCACCATGCACGCCCATCACCGCACATCTCTCACCATGCACGCCTTACCGCCAGGTCACCATTCCATCTCCCATGATGCACGCCCGTCACCATACCCGTCAGCCCATCTCCCAACGCCGCCCGTCACAATGCTCGCTCGTCACCATACACGTCTGTCACCGCACGCTGTCATCATTCACTCTCACCATACGCTCGTCTTCACCACGTCTGTCACCGCCACGCCCGTCACCATTCACATCTCCCACGCACGCCCGTCACCACGCTCGTCACCGCGCACGTCTGTCACCATACGCCAGTCACCATGCACGCCCTTCACCATACATGCCCGTTACAACACCGTCTGTCTGTACACGCCCGTTGCCATACGTCAGTCACCATACATGCCGTTACCATACGTCAGTCACCATACATGCCCGTTACCATACACTTCCGTTACCATGCGCCCCTTCACCGTCATGCCCGTTACCACACGTGTGTCACGCTCCTCCGCCATGCACGCCCTTCACCGTACATACCGTTACCATACACGCCCGTTACCATACGCCCGTTACCGCCCCATGCCTGTTACCATACGTCTGTTACCATACAGGTCCTTCACCATACGTCCGTCACCATACACAGCAGTGTATTTAGAAAGAGTCGAGGGATCCGTATTATTATTATTATTTTTTTATTATTAATATTATTATTATTATAATTATTATTATTACTTTTTATTATTATTATTTTATATTATTATTATTATTATTATTATTATTATTATTATTATTATTATTATTATTATTATTATTATTATTATTATTATTATTATTATTATTATTATTATTATTATTATTGTTATTATTATTTTTATTATTATTATTATATTTTATTATTATTATTATTATTTTATTATTATTATTATTATTACTATTATTACTATTATATTATATTATTATTATTATTATTATTAATATTATTATTATTATTATTATATCATTATTATTGTTATTATTATCATTACCTTTATTATTATTATTATTATTATTATTATTATTATTATTGTTATTATTATTATTATTATTATTATTATTATTATTATTATTATTATTATTATTATTATTATTATTATTATTGTTAATATTATCATTGCAACTGATATTATTATTAATCTATTATTACTATTATTATTATATGATGAAATATATCCCAGATCTGTTTAAATCTGGACAATATATATATATATATATATATATATATATATATATATATATATATATATATATATATATATAAAAATCTGACCAAAACACCAAAATCCAACACAAATTTAAGGTTAAGAAACAAACAAATAAAATCTTAAGTCTTAGAGGAAACGACCATTAGGGAACAAATTATATCCATACACAGACATTGAGGTCAGCAGATGTGTCGTTTATATTCCTAGAGGTCAATTAGGCGCCTTCACTTGATACCTTAACTACCCCTTAACCACCTACTGCCCACCTGACCCTCCTCACTCCCTCACCCTCTACTCCCCACCTCCCCTCACCCACCTCACTCCCTCCCTCACTCCCTCACCCACCTCCCTCACCTCCTCACCTCCCTCACTCCCTACCCTCCCTCACCTCCCTCCTCCTCTCCTCCCCTCACCCACCTCCTCACCACCTCCCTCCCTCTCCTCCCTCTCTCACTCCCTCCTCCACCCACCTCCCTCCCTCACCCATCCCTCCCTCCCTCCCCACCTCCCCTCCCTCCCTCACCCACCCTCCTCCCTCCACCCCCCCTCCCTCCCCCCTCACTCCTCACCCACCTCCCTCACTCCCTCCTCACCTCCCCTCCTCCCTCCCACCCACCTCTCACTCACCTCACCCCCTCCCTCCTCTCTCACCCACCTCCCTCACTCCCTCACCCTCCTCCTCCCCACCTCCTCCCTACCCCTCACCCCCTCCCCCTCCCTCCTCTCCACCTCCCTCCACCTCCCTCCTCCTCACCCTCCCTCACTCTCCACCTCCTCCCTCCTCCCTCACCCACCTCCTCCTCCCTCCCCCCTCCCTCCCTCCCTCACCCCCTCCTCCTCCCTCACCACCTCCCCCTCACCTCACCTCCCTCCTCCTCCCCCACTCCCTCACCTATCTAGAGCTTCTCCCCTTAGGTTGGCTGGAGAATGAGAAGAGTGGTCTGGAGGAATGAGTAGTGGGCGGAGTAGGTGTGGATGAAGATGTGGGTGTGGTTGTGGTGTGTAGCAGTGTAAGAATGGTAATGGAAGAGATAGAAAATAATGAATAAGTGAGGGAGAAATGAGAAAGACAACTGAGTGAAATATAAAATAATTAATGAGAGAGAGAGAGAGAAGAGAGAGAGAGAGAGAGAGAGAGAGAGAGAGAGGGGGGGGAGAGAGAGAGAGAGAGAGAGAGAAAGAGAGAGAGAGAGAGAGAGACAGTACAAAATAAATCGAAAGAAAGAGAATGAGAGAACAAGATAATTTAGAAGAATTAAAGGGGAAACGACAATAACAGAAGAAGAAGGAAAGAAGATATGAAGATAATTAAGAATGAAGGAGAAAGGAATAAAAAATAATGAAATAAAGAAACTGAAGAATGATAGGGGGAAGAAGGAAGAGAGAAAGAATGAGCTAAGATAAAGAGAAATAGAGGAGAGAGAAAAATAGAGGAGGAGAGAGAAAAGATCAAATAGAGGAGAGAGAGGAGAAGGGAAAGAGGGACACACCACAGAGGGAAACATCAGAGAGAGAGAGAGAGAGAGAGAGAGAGAGAGAGAGAGAGAGAGAGAAGGGAGAG